CTTTCTCGTTCCCTCTGCTCTTCCCATAACCACCTCCTGTCCGCCTTTTGCACCCGTACGGCCAACTCGCGCTTGCAGGACTTCTTGCGGGTGGCTCCCTTCCTATGGAATAGCCTACCCACACCCATCAGATTCTCCCCTATATTTCAATCCTTCAAGAAGTGCCTTAAAACCCATCTCTTTAGGAAAGCTTATGGCCTCCCAGAGTAACCTCTACCTTACACATCTGTCTCTTGCTCTCTCCTAAAGGGCAGCACTTTATGCTCTCCTCCAGCTCTGCTTCACTCCCAATTTATTTGATTGATATTTCCTGTCCTAATGTGTATTATACCCCATCTCCTATGGACTGTAAGCTTGTTTGAGCAGGGTCCTCTACAACCTATTGTTCCTGTAAGTTTTCTTGTAATTGACCTATTTATAGTTACATCCCCCCTTCTCATAATATTGTAAAGCGCTATGGAATCTGTTGGCGCTATATAAATGGCAATAATATTAATAATAATAATAATACCTTAGGTTGCAACAACTATCTATAAGTTACATTGTTGCTTTCTTGCAGTTGTTATTTCTGCAGGTTGACATTTTTATATCACTGCCGCATTACCTATCCTTTTTCCTTCTGCCTATGCTCATTGATTGGTTCCTGTTGATTTAGTGGGACTCATAATTGTAACAATAGCTATTTTTGCCCGTATGTGATCTGTCAGTAACTCCGCATATCAGTACATGAAACTTTGGCAGATTGCAGGATGTATGTACTTTACTCTGTTTAGGTATTAATCAGGGTCTCCAGCGGGAGTAGGTAAATTTGTAGTTTACCGAATCTGGGCTGATAAAACCAGTTTATTGTTAAGAATCACTTAGCTCTATCTCTACAATTTTCCTTCTCTACGTATTAGTATATGTGTGTTTGTGGTTTTACACTAGAATCTATTAAAAGTTGTTTTACTCAAAAATAGGTATCCTCTGTATTGGCTTCCACTACACTGGGTATACCCGGTATTTATCCCTTCTCTACACTCCTGACTTAGCTTATTTTGAAACTTCACATCTATCCATTATCAACGCAAAGCAACATAACTTACCCTCATTGCATCAACCAAGCACCATTGATGTGAGGCAATCTAATCTCACTATGTCTATACAAAATTTATAGCCAATAATGACACAAGTATGAAGTCATTACAGTAATGTGGGCTGATTATGCCAGATTTTAGAGCTAGTTATACTCGATCCATAAGGATTCCTGTGCTGTGTCATAGTTTTTAGTAGCAGGAATGTATTCCGCATTTGCTTTTTCTGGAATTTGACCATGGCTTTTAATTCAGCTATACTGATTTCACTTGTTCTGACCTTGGCTTGCCTCAGTGTCTTATTGTATCTCTATATCACTTGACCTCTGCCTGTCCTTGACCATTCTTGATTTTTTTAATAACTTTAAGCCCGACCACTTCTAAGGGTCTTGCTGTAATGTGAGACTGTAGCATGAGAGAGAGATCTCCTTCTCATGGTGCAGCCCCTGCTTGCTGTCCCGGCTGATCACACAGTGTTCAGTGCTGGGCAGCAGACACAACCCAGTACTGATCGCTTTTAGCAGGAGAGGATTTTGAGATTGAAGGGTCCTCACTCTGTCCATTTCAACCTCAGAATACTAAACGGTTTTGTGATAATAACTGCAGCTCAATCAGATTGAGCAGTCTCAGTGATTTAAAGGGAATTAAAGGGCTATGTACAGTCCTGCACACATGTAATATTTCAGTCTAGGGCTTTATGTGTAGCCCTAGCTGACAAAGGAATAATTGAATAATAACTGGGGCTCCCTGGTACCAGCAGGGATAAAACCTTGCTGGTACCTTAAATGCATGATGGTCTATGACTTCACCAAGTGTTAAATCTGAGCATCGTATGGTAGCTTATAGAGTCATGTGGTCATTAAGGGGTTAGGTTTTATGATATTATGGATGTTTGCATTTTTTAATGAAATAATTAAAGTGGCACTGTCATGCATACTTACTGTTTTCCAATATCTTCCCTTTCTTTTTGTCTTCCTACTCTGTCTTTATTTTCCTCTTTTCCTACTATGTCACTGGTGCTGAAACTGAAAATGACCCACTGGATTAAACTGGCTGCACCTGTAAGAGACAGGTTCAAGTAAGTAAATCTAAACTTTACCTGCCCCCTCTGGCCACCAGACCCCCAGTGGTGATGCCACTGTCGAGGGTCTTTCTGCAAAGTTCCCAGACGGTGACAGTGCATCTTTAAACTTCCATACTGGAGTGCTCAAAATGTATCTTCTGGATTGTAACCCAAAGGCCCGAAGACAAATCACAGCTGTTTCCACAACCCAGGCACTCAAGAATTAAAAACTCTTAATTTTGGTTACTTTTGCTATTTGTTGATAAAAATATATAACTACTTAAAAAAAAAATTAGTTGTTTAAAAGTGTTTCATAAATGGCTAATTGTAATGTAAGTCCTAAAATATAACCCTTCTCAAAACACCATTTCTGGTGCATTTTCTGACCAGAACTTTTAATACAGAAACAATACTCAGCTTTAGCAATAGGACCTGATATAAACAGACATGTCTCTTCCATTTGAGGTGAATGGAAAGCATAAAATGGGCATCTAAGTAATGCACAGAACATGGGTCAAAGAATTGGGAACTAGGCTGTGCATTATCTATTTTTACTGGTTAAAGGTGTAGCAAAACTTAATTTTTTAAATGTACTTTTTTATGCTTGACTGTCTTGATACAGCCAGAGCATCAGAGCATTATTGTTACCATTTCATCTATGCGCTATGTAAGGAATGCCTCAGTGTGCATGAACTCATATGGCATTTCTCTGCAAGGGCCTGAACATACCCAGAGCATCATGGAGCAATAAATTAAGTCT